CAGGCTGAAACAAGGTTCGATAGTATAGTCTAGACAAGACATTTGACATTTATGACAGGGTCATACATAAATGATATTATCTATAATTTCAAGATATTTAGGCCCCCTGCCCCCCTGTGTCACCATCTCTCTGAACCCCTCTATTATATTGCCAATGACGTCATTTTTCACACTCTCCCCCCCTCCCTTCGCTATACATTCATTTGAAAAGTAGAGCAAAGCAAAAAAGCATAATTTCTTTTTTATAAAGAAATTTTTCAGATCTAAAGTTGCGAAAATTATATTTTTAAAAAGGTGCGAACATTAAAGCAACTCTGAAAGGTACCTTTTTAAGCCTGCCTAGTTGGGGATTTCTCCAGGCTCCGAATTCCCAGGAATACCCTTTATTTGTGCTTCTTTTTATGCAAGTTTTCGTCCATAATCTTGATTCATATTTTATCTAAGTAATCAAGAAAATCAACAAAACTGATTTCTCTACGATGTTCGTTGCTTCAGTGTTTAGTCTATAGAAACTAATAACTCTTACAAATCTGAACGCGTTTCAAAGATATGGTGAATTTTTTAGGCAGCTACTTCGATCAGAGAAAAATAACTCACAGCGCTGACTTACAGCTAAAATTTAATTGTACCTAAGAGAGGAAAAGATTGAATGGTGTAACCTGTTGTTTAGAATGCATTCAGCATATTCTGTCTACGCAAAATTGAACTGATAGAATGACTGATAATACATTTAGAAAACTACAATATGAGTTATGAATACAAGGAAGAAATAATGTTCAAAAAAACTGGGAAAAGTTGAACAGAATTCACTTGAACTCTGCAAAAAGCTACCCGGGCAATGGCGGCGCCAGCCACTGAGCTCTGGGTGGGGACAAACCAAAATAATTTAAGCCACGCCCTTTTAACCACCAGAAAACGCCCTTTTACCAACAGGGAACGCCAATTTTGTCCGAAGTGAACGCCTATGACTAACTTTTGTTTGAAAATTGAAAACTGCCAACTCTGATTCTTTCTTGAATACTTTTGAAAGGTTTTCTGCCGAACGTTACGTTCATTTTCACTTACATTTTTTACCTCCCTTTCCTTTCTCTTTCTGCTTTCTCCCATTGTTTCTACTGATTTCCTTCTCATTTCTTTAGCTTTTTTCTTTCTTCAGCAATTGCTGCATCAAAAAGCTCCCTTATCTTGCAAGGAGAACATGTTTTTTTGTGTGCTCAGGGTTAATTCCACTTGCACTTTCTTCTCTTCTATTTTTGGACTTTTTGTTGGTGAAAATATTCTGGAAGCGATCTCTCACTGCTCTGCAGGATACACCAAATTTTGGGTTTTTTACCTGCGAAGAATTATCCACAGTTTTTCTCCACCCATCGCTCCTCGGCCCACCAGGACACGGCGAAATTTCCCGGTACGCCCTTGCTTCGAGTCATATTTTTCAAAAAACGTTCGAAAGGCAATTATCAATATTCGCATAGAACTAAAATTGATTACAACCATCAATTGACCTCTCGAAAGAACGTTTGCATAAAAAGTTCGCCGTGGTTATGGTTTCGGCGTCATAGATTTTACAGTTTAGTTTAGCTTCACCATTAAATTGAGAAAAACTATACCAATGATGTATGAAATTTTCACCAGTTTTTGCTAATTCCTCGTAATTGTATAATTTATTGAATGGTATTGACTTCGAAGTATTGAATTTTGGGATTTGTGAAAATGTCTATTTGCGGCTATCCCAGATTCCTGCTTTGATCAAAAAATGTGAATTTTCCTCGTCAGTTCGATATAGAGTTCATGTATTGTAATTCTCGTATAACCATCGGAAAGACTCTCTTATCAAAACTTAAAACAAAGCGAAATGCCCAGAACCAAAATCAAAACATCTCCTGTAAATGTCAGCATTGCTGTAAATTTCGTAATTTGATCGTGTCGAAGATAAAATATTCAGTAATAATTTATCAGTTGCCCTATCATGCTCTGGGCATCTAGCAGAAGCTCACTTAACTTAACTAAAATAAAGATAAAGAGCCTAATAAAACTTTTTAGTTAATAGATCACCTTTCTTCAAACAGACCCAACAACCTCTGTAATGTATCGGTCGTAAAAATCGGTATTATAGACCACTTTATGACATACGATATTAGAAAATTAAACGCTAGAGTTCATGTCAATGACGTGAAATTTAAGACAGAGTCACGCAGTTTGAAAAATTATGACCGTGACTCTTTCCTTAATGACTTGCGTAGTATTGACCAGGGGATGGCTATGTCCTGTAGATCGGATGACCCTAATAGGATGGCTAGCAATTTCTACGATCTCTTTCTTGCTGTCTTGGATGTGCATGCCCCGTTGAAAAAAGGACCGCTAAGACGGGGCATGCACATGTACCATGGATTTCTCCAAGCATCAAGAACTTGATGTGCGAGAGAGACCTTATTAAGAGACGGGCTGAGAGAGATCCAGCACTATGGCCAAGAGAAGAGTAGCTTCGAAACCAGGGGCGGTCTGGCGTCAGAATCGCAGGGTCGCTAGAAAACTCAAGGGCCCGGTTTAAGGCGTGGCGGGAAAAATTGAGCCACACCCACTAAAAATGTGGCTTAGAATACGATTGATTCAAGAAAAATTGATAATAAAGCAATACGCTAAACAGCAGAAGTATATCGACTTTATTTCGTAAATTCGGACCAAATTGGATCCATACCTTTCCTCTCGTGTAAACAGGCTTTAAAATCCCATGTTGAGTTAAGAATCAAGATCAAAACTTGTTTAAATTCTCAGAGTTTCAACTCTTTTCGAAGAAGTGCAAATAAATCAGCAAATTCGCCAATGACTTGCTCGTAATCAAGTGGAAAGTTTTCTTTTCTTTTGAAATTATCAGTAGCGCTGAATAATCTTTCAAAGGAAACTTGGGTGCAGCTAAGTGTCATCAAGCATTTATACGCGTTGTAGAGGGAAGGGTATGCTACTAGGCGCATGTTGTATTCACTAAATTTTTTATAAAAACCAGTAAATTTAGGTTCAGGCTGACTGTTCTTAATTTTCGCAAAAATCCGAGGGTGGATTGTCCTTAATTTGTTCTTAAATTAATAGGGTGTAAGCAGTGCGATTGCTAGCTTTTTCGCTCTTGGGCGGTGTTCAGGCATTATTTGCCAACAAAGTGAGTGAGACAGCCTTCATTTGACGACAAGATTGAATATTCACCGACAAGCAACCACACATGGCTAAAAATCCTCGTTTTGGGATAAATGTTGTTCAAAAATGCATTAAACAGTAACTCAGCCTTACCTTGTTCCTAATTTGATCTCAACTTTTGACCAGTTTTGATGCTCATATTCTTATAAAATTGTTATATATGATAAAAGATATAAATATATTAAAAAAATTATATAAGCGTCGGTACAAAGTTTTGAATGCGCAGGGTATGCACAGTTGGCAAGCTTTTACCCTTTTGATAGAGAGTGTCGATGTCGACCTTGGGGTTTTTTCTCTCTTTGTGAATCCCCACCTTGAAAGTCACAGTTTTCCTCTCCAAATGTTTCTTCTCTAAAAGCTTGTTCCTTGAGATTATCTGTTTTCAGGATCTCTATTCCCACCAGTTGTTGTTTTCACTTGATCGATAAGCTGCTGGTAGCAATTTGCAAATGCCAGCAATTCTGACATTCTGTGAACTTGAAATCTTGATAAAGGCTCCTATGGCTCTTTTGCTTCCTCTTTGTGCCAACAAATCTTCTTAGCATTGTTAAATCCTGATACAGATCTCTGTAACCAGATGATAGTGACGACCCCTTGTCATCTCTCTTTATTTACTGAAGCCCCCTCCCAATAATTGCAGCCTAAGCCTTATGTCCTGTATAACAGTGTACTAAGTGGAAATAAATACAATGAGCAGCCGCAACCCCTCCCCCCCCCCAACATGAATTTCGTTCCCACAGCACTGTCTCTGACAGTCAGATACCCTGGGCATCAGAGCCACATAAATTAGAGAGCGGAAATAGAAGATGAGAGTACGCTCATTCGCTTCTCTGCTTGGCATTCTGTTTACGCGCTCGAAATTTTGTGGCTCTGGGACCCAGGGTACACGTAAGATTGAACACATGGCTGAAATAACGGAAACCAGGGTTTGGGTGGTTTGAAGCGCATGTATTAGGACTTTAATCGCAATATAATCAGTCTAGGGCATTAAGTATTTGAAATTAAGTTAAAAAATTTTCTCCAACGCGGAAAGGCCCGTAAATTTTTTGTACACAGTGCCTGGGTGGCGATCGCCACTTTGCCACCCGGGCCAGACCGCCCCTGACCACACTCGTTGCTTGTAATTATTTTTCAGCACAATGCGTCCCTCCCCGTATCTTTAGGCCTATAAAATACCTTCTGGGTACACTTTCACCACAAAGATTTCTAATTTGGCCTTACCAAGAGGAAATAAATTTAATTCATATCTTCATATCAATTCAATTTCTTTTCTACAAATTCAATTTGACAAACTAAATATAAAACATTCGCACTGTCCTACTCATGCCATATTAGGTTCTAAACGACAGACAGAAAAATTCAAGAATTATATATCTAAAATGGTCTATATTATTAGGTAATTTCTAATCTATATGAAGAGAAAAATTGCAAACACATACTTTTTCAACTCATAAAAACACGACAAGCCACTGCCATATTCCCCCCGTAACTGCGTAAACTAAAAGAGCCATAATTTTTAAAATTCTTTTTAGAAACCCCAAAATATTGTTATGTGTTGTTGATTTATATCTCCTCTAACTACCTGCATCAGAAAAGGCACTGAAATAGTTGTGAGCCACGAAAAAATCATTCATTAAAACAAGCAATTTTCCATACTGAACCCTTTTGCAGCTCGCTTTTTGCCACTATTTAAAATGGCGCAAGGTAAAAAATTTGCCTCACTCGGCAGTACGCAGCATGACCCGAGTTAGACATCTAGCGCCTTCGGCGCTTCTATATCATTGCATGTAGTTATGTATTTATCACCATTTTAGAGACCTCATGAGCCAAGAAGATTTTCGAAGGTTGGGGTTTAAGGAAGAAGAGAGTGGCAACGAAGACAGCAGGGATTCTTAACAAGTCTTCATAAGTCTGCAACCAGTAAGTTGCAGTTGTAATTTTTATTGGAGTGTCTTTTTATTCACTATGCCGAGTCTTCAATTATCATAGTACATTCTTAGCTTGATTTAGCGATTCTTGTATTCACCAATGTCGCATCATGTTTGTCATGCGTTTTCGAACCTTTTTTTCCAAAAACGCAGAACTGGATACAGTGCATGATTTCCTTCTCAAAAGATGCCGAACACTCTCAATATATGTAGAAATGTATACCGCTTAAAGGTATGAAAAATATTCCCTAATCACACTGGCAAATAATTATAATGTCTAGTCCTATAATTTCTACTGTGAGGACTCTACTGTTGTGATATAGGATGTTAGGTCTGTGTCTCTGCTATATTTTCTGTTGTTTTGGAACATTCTTTAGAACAATGGGTTTGATTTCAAAGAATCCCCTATACATTCTTTCTTTTGTTTTACTTTCGATCCTCATCATCTTGGTGAAAAACAAATTCTAAGCATATAGAATTTATGTTCTCACTTTCTTACCAACAAAGAGCAATAGAAAGATGGATTAAATGAAACTTAATCACGTTCAGTATGTGAAAGAAGGTCGCCTTTTTTGGTGCCCTTGGCTCTTTTTGGTACAATTGGCACTATTGTGGAGTTTGGGTTCATTGTAGCATTGTATTACATTTTGTTTTTTATACGGCCAAAATAATAAGTGTGCATTGGCCTCGAGTATGTAAAATTTATGTTGACATAGTTCCTTTCTCACACGTTGCAAGGCAACCTGATGTTGGATTGTGGGGAGCAAAAGCTTCTGCTTTGAGTTGCGTTGCGTTGCGTTGCGTTCCTTTGCTTCGCGTTGCGTTGTGTTGCGTTGCGATGTTCGGTTCTTTTCCCTAGTTACGGTTCTTATCGCTAGAAGTTGGTGAGATCGTTTTAGGCTCTTCCCTCTTGAATTTTATTTAAAAGGAATTCATATTCTTGAACAAAGTCAGGACAAGTCTTCTTGAAAAATTTATGCCTATTGCTAAGCATCCAAACGTTGATGCGAGAGTTTGTAAGTTATTTAGCTTCATTGCAAATGTTGAGGATGATTTTATTGTAGGAATTGCTCGTGCTACAAGGATTTGGAAACCTTGAAAAAATCTAACTTTGCTGATTCTACTAATCTTGAAAAGGCTATCTTGAAAGCATGGAATATTGAGTATTGGAATGTTGGAACGGTAGAAGATTGGAATGAGTTTTCTATAACCGATATAACTTCATGCTAACAAGTAAATTTGTATTTAATTTGGGTTCGTTGATACCTCATTAATGTCGATCGTATCAAGTCTTGGCTTTGCATACTTCGCTATGGGTGAACCTACTGGCAGGGTTGGAATCCTTCGGATCTTGCTCCAAGGTCTAGGGTTGACTTAAGTTCGTTGGGTTTTTCCTTGGATATTTTTGGCAAAAACACCTTGGCAAACAATCTTTGATATTTTTGAATAGGTTCTAATCTATTTTTGACTTTATCGAATAAAATACATTTGAAATAGCTTCGAAAGAAGCAAACATTTGAGTAAACTAAAGATTTTGGTCTGACACTTCTCAGAGTTTAAAACGTCAGAACATAGATCGAAAACTCTACGCTAGGAAATATATATACCCAGTTGTGGATCGAAATAGGCCAATCAGAAACACGAGCACATGACTGTTCAGGTTGACCAATGAGTGCCGCTTGTCTATTGAGAATGTTACCAATGGGGTCATAAGGCTAAAACGAACTCCTTTTGTCTACACAATAGCGGTTCTTTCGTGCTTATGTAGATAGATCCCAAAACTGCTAGGTGGAACGACGATCGAACTTTACCAATAATCCGAAACATGTCGCCATTTTAGTTTTTGCACAATTTGGGTATTCCAGTAAATATTTCTCGATAGCAGAGACGCAGGTTTTAGTTGTACTTTTAGATCTGCAAAACCGAGGTGGCTGTTCTCTTTGGGGATGAGTTTTGTTTCTAATATCAGACGGAAAATGCTGTTTTATTCTATCCTCCAATCTTTGGCTAGTTCGTCCTACGTAGCCAGAATCAGACTGGCACGTAAATTCATATAGAACGGAACTCTTTCGTTTGGTGGGAACGCAATCCTTTTGAATGGAGGGACGAGCCTTTTTTGTACCATAAACAATGCGTGGATTCACGGCAAAGAAACAATTTGTGATGGCCTGTTTTATCTGTTTTTGAAACGCAAGGAACTGTTACCGATCCAGGGTAGTTTTAGATAGACCGGGCATTTTTGAGGACCAAATTTTACGTCAGCCGAGAAATTTCCTATCTTCTTCTTAATGTAAACTGAAATAACATTTTCTGGATAGCCGTTCTCCAGAAAGATCTTAGCTAGTTTTTCAAGTTCCGAGTCGAGTTTAGACTTGGAACAAATCATCAGTGCCCTATATGTACGCGTTTGGATGAGGCTGATTTTTCTTTGTTTTGGGCAAAACAAAATCCATCGAGTGTATAACCCCGAAAATGTGGGTTTGCGGTATACACTTTTAAAAAATCAACCAATCAAAACATCTAGAAATGGCATGAGTTATTTTCTTCCTTTTCAAATGTGAACTGTAGGGCTGGGTGAAGGCCATTGAGGCGTTTTAGGAAAGTATCACACCATAGTGATCACCCTCAGCCTCTGTTTTGAAGATGGTATATATGTCCTCCACGTATCGAAAATAGACACCTGGCTTTTGGTAAGGGGCGAGTCCTGAGCAAACTTGAAGGAGGGGCAGTTGCTAATGGGGGAGCTGAAAAATTTTCAAAAATTGATAACGAGAGAGCGCTGTATACAACAATTTCAGATACATTTTCGGAATAAACAACATAACTTTGAAATAATCCTTGAAGCAAACTAACCTATTGGTCTTAGAAACTTTTTCACCTGATTCTTATTCTTCAAAGGGGGCGCACAATTTCCAAAAAGGGGTGCCATACTTGCATGGACTCGTCGAGAGAGGGGCAACTGCCCCTAGTTGCCCCCCCTTAAATCCGCCACTGCTTTTGGTCGCAGTCAAACAAACGCTCTCCATGAAAGCCAACAAAGATGTTGACCAAGGCTGCTCCCAGAGGGCTACCCATAGCGACACCATCCTTTTGTTGGTACATTTCATTGTTAAAACTGAATAGAACTGAACGTATCGCAGTTTCCATTAGTTCAATGAATACTTCCTCTGGGAATGGTGGGCTATTGAGCTCGCTCCGGTACAAAGCATCGGCACATATTTTCATGGTCTCACTCAAAAGAACATTTGTGAAAAAACTACCAATGTCAGGCGCGGATCTAGCCAAAATTTGACCGGTTTCGGGGTCCTTTACCCCCATTACAGCCAGGGAGATATGTAGCAATTGTGGGGGTTCTGTAGTCAGTCAGAGAGATATGCAGCAATTGTTGCAATTGAAATTTAGATAAAAATTTCAAGATTTACAGAAAAACATAGCTCTTAGAATTTGACCGGCTTTTTTAAACCTGTGCCACCGGCCTAGATCCGCACCTGAATGTCAAAAGAACTCATGAAAGATGTTTCGTTTTCGATTTTCAAGTTTTGCATGAACTCAGCGAACGTAAAAGAATCCTTTATACACCGTTTTGAATATTTTTGAAGAACAGGTTCCAAAATTTCAGAAAGCCACTTAGCCAATTCATGTTGTGCTGAGCCAATCATAAACAAGATGGGTCTATGTGGAACATTCGGCTTGTGTATTTTAGGGAGGCCTTACATTTGTGGTGGACCTTGCAACCCTGTGGGTCTTATCCTATCGTAAACTTCGTTAGTCAACACTTTTGAGTTAACCAGCTCCAAATAACGTTTTTTAAGTTTTCGCTCTAGCTTGGCCGTTTCATCCTGTGTTTCGACGTCACCGTGTTTATTGAACTTTTCCTTATCGATTAGAATATTCTTCATTTTTTTGGATGTAGTCCTTTTTGTGCAAAATAATCACTCCTGACCCTTTATCGGGCTTTGTGATAAAGATGTCATTATTAGACCATAGAGATTTTAATGCTTGAAAATGTTCTCTTTGCAAAGGAAAATCTGAGTGGTCGATGGGAGAGCCGCTGTAAGCGTACGCCAAATCGCTTAGTCGGCACTGATTGGTCGATCTTAATATTCATGTGCTCGCGTTTCTGATTGGCCTATTTCGATCCACAACTGGGTATATATATTTCCTAGCGTAGAGTTTTTATCTATGTTCCGAGGTTTTAAACTCTGAAGAGTGTCAGACGAAAAGTTTTAGTTTACTAAATGTTTGCTTTTTTCAATGCCATTTTCAATAAGAAATTTCTACCTCACCCTGTAGTATAATTGCTACTCACCTACCAACAATTGTAACATATCAACATAAATGTAGCAATTAACCTTTCACAATAAAGCACTAAAGTATGAATTTGGAATATATACATGCACAACAGCAGCATATAAGTCTGTTTATTTCCATATTCTGAAAGAATAAGACACGCCATATTTTTGCCGGGAAATATCATTTCTGCAACTTTATGAATAAAAGGTTTTGGCTCCGCCCCTGTTGAGAAATTATTGCTAGCTAAGTGGACTTTAGAAAAGGTTGCCTTTGATCCAAAAAAAATTGTTAGGTCTGTTGATACATTTTTGGCCAAGTTCCTTTGAAAAAGGATGTTTCGTCGACCATGCGTAAACATTTAGATAAAGACATGAATGAATAGAATGCTTCTTTGGCAGCAGATGTTTATTGCAAGAAACATCACAAGAGACGATCAAGAGAAAAGCAAATGTATACGGGTATAGAAAAGAAAAAAGAAGTAGTAAGTGCTTCTTGAGGGCACATGCTGCTCCTGAATTTGTTTGAAGTGCCCAACAAAAGAGGTACCCTTGTGGTACTAAAATCAGGAAGGGGGCACTACTCCAAGCACATAAAAAGCTATTGTAATCCTGATGTCATGCCCTTATCCAAAACTATCAACATTGTTCTGATCCACCAAAAAGGCTGTCATGTTCAGAGAGGAACGAATTTTTCCCTTCAACACACCCTTATGGCCCAGCCTCCGCTGCAGACCATCTAGTGGGCTCCATCTATTCCCCTGCCCCAATTTATAGATGGATTTGCCCACCATTTCTAGATGCCCCTCATCCAGGCTTTATCGTTTCACTACAATGCAACTGCTATACCAGACTGTAAATGGACAACCAATAGCTGACAACGAAACATTAACAAACCCATAATAAATAACGTCAATTTGAAAATAAATTATTCTCTTAGCTATCTATGATATTGGTTAAAACTAAACTATTTTATGTTATTTTATATCTATTTAAATTTTAAGCTATTAATGAGAAAGAACTTGATATTACTTTTACTGTTATTTTGAAATTAAGTTTAAACATTTAATTACAAAAGCAAAATGATAACAAGATAACAAAATAATAATATATAATTAAGGAAATTGAGATTGCTCTAAATATACGTAAGTGACCTAGCCAAAATGTTAGTAAATTGAAATATCAATAAAAATTAATATAAAAGAAGACATAAACACAATAGCTTTTACTGTGCAAGGAAGGGTTGCAGTCTAGAAAGATACAAAGGTACGACATAAAAACAGCATTTTCTCAATACAGGGATTGAGAGAGGATAGAATCGAGAGGAGAAGGGAAGGATAGGTCCAGATAAAGTTAAAGTTGAAGAATAAGAACAATGATAGGAGAGAAAAGAAGATGCAGAGACAACAACAGAAACAGTTTAACATAAGATAAAATAGAAAGTCACTAGAAGTGAAAGATGCAAGAAGAGAAGAGTGTTACATGTTACAACATCGAACAAGCACGACACTACAAGGCATTTACTACAGCTACACAGGCGAGGTTCAAGTTGGTGAAGCGTCAATAATGCACTTCTAGATACCATCTGAACGTTTACTTGTTTCACTAAAGTAAAGCCTAAATTATAAGACAAATAAACACAACAAGGAAGATATGCTAGATCTGTACAGCTGACATTATTGCATTTGTCGTGAAACTTTTAGCCTTTCAATGAGATGACATCTGATGAGCTGCTAGTTGGTCCCCCTTTCTACTTTCAAAAAACGCTATCACATTGCTATGTTGAATAAAAGTTGGATCAGGCTTTTCAATGGGGGACCATAGAAGGCAATGGGGCCAGCAGCACTCTGTGCCACTATTAGACACAGAATGCTGACAAGGCGCGTTGAAGGTGCATATTTTGTTCCTCTCGGCATATTTGCTGGGTAGACGAACGACAGGAAGTCTTGAAATGACTGAGCCATGCATGCCTCGGTCATTTCAAAACTAGTTGACGTTCTTCTGCCCAGCAAATACACGGGTTATTCTTCTTAGTGGATCAGAACAAACGATTTAACTAGGGACGTGACATCACTGATAATACTTTGTAAAAGTGATTGGATTGTGCCCCCTCTCCATGTTTTTAAAAAAGTGTGCCCCAGAAATTGAGTATC